TGGAATAAGAAAATATTCAAATGCACCAAAGGTCCCTATAGCTTAATTAGCTTTACTGTTTTCTATGCAAACAGAGTAAGTGAACGTTTAAAGCGCAAACAATTCGTGCCTCTGGGCGAGGAGGGGAAGATGAAAAGCAAGAAAGTCACCGGAACGCTCGGCTTTGGTGAGGGACGGTGTCTCCCCAAAAGTCACCGCTGCACCTTGCATGTTCTTGCCCTTTCCACTTACGCCTTCCCAGTTTCTCCTCCTTCCCTCTCACTCTTGGAACTCAGTTCCAGATCTTTTATGGCTGCTCTGCTCTACCCGTGTCCGTAGAAAAGAAACGCCGCGCAGTCACCTGTGTCAGTCTGGGACGTTCCCACCCTATGGGGCACAAACCCGAGTCTGTACCGAGAGCCGGTGGACGTGGCTGTGAAGGAACAGCGAGTCCGGCCGGAGTGATTGTGTATTCAATTATATTAAAATAGCTGTAGTTATTTTACTGCAAGTTAAGGGAAGACAAATTTTATCCTACCTGGCTTAGGACCACAGGACACGAGCTCAGCTCACATCTTCGTGCCGGTTTCCACACACTCCCTCCAGACAGGACACCAGGCTCTGCAGCAATTTTGGCAATTTCAAGATAGATAGCCCAATGCTTACATGTCAGATATTATTTAAGAGCTCAAAAACTCCGATTTGGAGCCACGTAACAACTGTACTCATCTTAAAACATAACATTAAGCAGACTAAATGCAGCAAGCAAAGGCCCTAGAATGATTTTATCACTGAGGACCAAGTAGGTCGTTTCCATTCCCGTCACGATAGCTGCATTTATAAAGCCAGTATTTAATTGGCATGGATGCTGCCAAACCAACTGCTGCCACTGCATTAGGTTCATTCGTGGGCCTGAATTCCCACAAATACTCTCAAGAATAATTGCACAAGCCCCGCTTTCTGCACAGCACGCTCCATCACGAAGCCTGTGGTACACGCACCATCTAGTGGCAAGGCTGCAGATGCGATGGTGGGAGTTGAAACCTCACCCATGAGGCAGAACCAAATCACAGGAACAAGCTGAACATGCTGGGGCAGGGGCACGTGGCGTTCATGGAAATACTGAACTCGATCATTTATTTCAAAGCAAGGCAGCGCCAACAGACTGAAGGTGAGTTCTGGAGCAGGGGTGCCAGCGAGATGTCCCATGTGCTTCAGCGCTTCACACTGCAAGTGAGCTCAGGTGTTTTATGTTTTCTGCTGCTAGGGATGGGAACACCACACAAAATGTAAGAGCGTGCGCTGTTACACGCATACTCTGATACAGAAGACACCCACCCCCCCGCCAAAGAACACGGTATTAAAATGAACTAAGGACAAGAGTTAGCCAAGTCTCATTCCTGGAAAAAAAAGATGCAAGAGATCTTCACTTCGTGCCCCTTCTACAGTAAATTAATGGAAACTTTGAATCTCTTCCCACTGCCAGACTCCACGTCTACTTTGGGCTTTCTGGGGTGGGAAGAAGGAAGAAGGAGCAGGGTCTGCTGGACACGACAACGACTGCGGACCCTAGGCTGCACAGCCGGCCTGACTGACTGCCTTGGGGAGGTCAGAAGACAGCCAGATAGGACAACACGGGGTTGAGATCAGAGTAGGTTTGGACGTAGGTTTTCCACAAACTCGGGAGGCATTACAGACCAGGTCTTCGCTTGGCAATCCAAACCCAACTGATTCAAGTAGCTTTCTGGTCTGCAGATCTAGAACGTTACAGAAGTACAGGAGAGGCTTCCTGGGATTATCAGTTCTTGTACCTGCTTCCATTTACCTCGACACACCTCACTCCGGCTGCACGTGCAACTCTTCAGGAAGGGCTTTGGGAACGGAGTCAAAATATGAATTAGACTTCAAGAAGGTTTGAAACAGATATTGGATTTATTGGTCAGCTATGAGTAGGAAAATACATTGGTAAAGAAAAAGAAGACCCTGTATATAAATATAATACTAACTAGTTAAAATTTGACCAAGAAGAAAGTTCCACTGAAGAGAACAGTAAAAGCCCTTGTTTACCATCAGACCATATTCAGTTTCCCATTTATCTTATTGAAGAGCTGCCTATAGACAAATGCAACATTCTTTGAGCTTAGTGCAGATAATGTGCTGGTTTTTGTTACATGAATGGTAAACAAGAGTTAGTCCAGTGCATTACACATTATACAGAAGTACTGTGAATAAAGACTAAGATATTCTATTTCAGACACTACTTAAACATACCAAGACACTTAAGTATTACAAATTTATGCAACCAAAAGAAAAGAATAGCATTTAACATACTAAAAAATACTGTGTCCGACTGGATGAAAAAGGCTTGCTACTTAAGCAGTTAACTGAATTTTTTAAAGTTTTACAGTGTAATGAGGTTGGGTTTTTCCCTCCAGTGGTGGTGTAATTATTTTGTCTTTCATACAGGTTTTGTGTGGTTGAAAAAGCAAACCATAAGCTATTTTCCAAGTCTGCTCTAAAAAAAACCCAACCAAGTTACATCAAAGACGCATACACACAATGTTCCCAAAGCCAGTTTCATCAAATCCTAACCAAATTCACTTTTTTTTTTAAAGCTGCTAAAAGGACAAAATAAT